TCCTGAGTCAGTTGGCTATCTGCCGTAAGATGAGATGTTGCAAGGTCAACAAATGTCAGTAAAACTAACTTTTTACTGTCCTGTCAGACGGTGTACTGTACTTGCACATCACGCGCAAATGTGGCGTGCTGTAGCCGTAGTTCTGTCGTCAATTAACTCATGAAATAAAAAGGCGATCAAATCTGTGTCAAAACTGCATGCATGTATGTATTTGTTATATATGCGTCACATATGTCTAGACTACAATATTCTGCCATGTTCAAGGCACAAACTGATAGGCTATGTGGTTTTTTAATGTACAAATAAATGTGAGCACTGTGCATTTGTACTAGAAGATAGGCGGTAATTTTGCGTTAATTTGTAAAGGACAAAATAAAATGCATAATTTTTAAACCCATAAAATAACTCATTTTACATTCTGGAATTTATGTGCATGTTGACTTCCGCCTTGTTCACATTCTTGCACATAGGGATTCAAAAGAGATCTTTCCCCCCCCCTTTTTAATTAGGTATGATAGAACGGTTGAGATTCTTTATTTTGACTACTAATATAGAAAGTTGAAGAGTTAATTGATTATATAAAATTCAATGAAGGGTAAATAATCTTTCAACTACAGTAGTTATCTGCATGTCTCATCCATGAACGTGCAACAATGTTGGGGGTTTCGAGAACCAGAACCATGCTAACTGAGCAAGTTTACTATATGACTAAAGAACTTTAGCAATAGTGTGTGTCCCCTTTATTAATATGCCTGGAGGTGGCAAGTAGCTAATAATAATAATAATAATAATAATAATAAAATCAAATTCACTCAGTATTCCATGATTCCTAATTCACTACTCTCTCAATTACAATTGAATACAAATGAACTGTATTCAGTTGTGTAGGAATACATTATTTAAACTAATTATTATGTTAAAATGTATGTGCCACCCCAGACTGTTTGCTGGCCCCTGCCTGGCCACCCCTATGAAAAAATCCTGGCTCCGCCACTGCTCTCAAAACCATAGTCTGATATTTTCTCCTATGTTAGGCAACATTTTTGCTGTTTAATTGATTTATTGTATTTTGCTGAAAAGCCAACAACAAAAATATTGAGCGTAACCTGTAGTCCGATTCATAAATGCATTACTCTTATGAGCCGGTTCTTTTTAGTAGTTTAAATCAGAAACATATTGCGTGGCCAATGTAGTCGGATAGATTAATGAAAAAATGTATACAGTATTTATACAGTAGTGAATCAAATACATGGGTTGTGTTCGAAATTACCCCGTATACCCTTAAATAGGGCACTATTTGAAGGGACAGCCATTTGTGGTGGTGTCCAAGACCACAGTGAACGTTATTGAGTGCACTCATTCAATACCATAAAGCACCGCAATAACGAGTGTACAACTCATGTACACTCAACAGTTAGAGAATACCCATAATGCACTGTGACGGTCATGCCGAATGAATTCCCGCGTCTCGCCAGAAAATGGCGCCCGCAGCTGAATCATCCATCCATCCATTTTCAAAAGCCGCTGGTCCAATGTGGCTGCAGCGTAATATCCTATATAGGGGTGGACACCATTAATCCGGTAAAAATTTTGGACTATCGTTTCTATTGCGGTTACACTCACATGACATTGCTGTGCTACACAGTAACGAAAGCTTATCGTTAGCATGCGTTTTTAAGTATTGCTGTTTAAAATCAAGTGATTTTAAACCATTGAAGTAAATGACAATTCATTTCGCTGTCAGAGAGACTGTTTCCCAGCACTGTTTGAGAGACACGCGCGCAAATGAAGGCTTTTATTCACATTTAGGACTACACATTCATCAACTCACACATCAGTTGTTGAAAACAAAAGCTCAAGCATGTTCGCTTGACGTGCAAGAACCAATGAGATTAATTCTCGCGTGTTACTCGTCATGAGGTTTGTTCTCGGCTCGCACATCAAGCAGGTTCAGTTGAGCTTCTGTTTATGTTCGCTGATCAATGTTTAAATGTGAATAAAAGCCTAAATTCAATCTGTTCATCATATAAAGAGTTTGAGTCTTTTCATAAATTTAGACTAAACCACTCAATTCATATGGATTAGTTTTACAATCTCTTTATGAACTTTCTGAAGCGTCAAGGTGGTAGTTGTGTAACTGTCAGTGGAGGGACAGAAAGCTCTCCGATTTCATCAAAAAAATCTTAATTTGTGTTCCGAAGATGAACGGTCTTGTCTTACGGGTTTAGAACAACACGAGGGTGTGTGTAATTATAACAGAATTTAATTTTAGGGTGAACTATCCCTTTAAGTCAGCATGAAACCGAATCCAATGGCTAATAGAACCGGAAATCGTTAAGAAAAATCGCAATCCTACGATACCTATTGAGACACGTGACATAAAGGGAAAAAACAACAGTTAAAGGCATTTCAACAACATGTGTTTCCTCGCTCTCCCCCAAGTCTAATTTCCTGCAATTATTTATCGGACACCCTGATCTAGATATCGAGTCTTTGAAAAAAAAGAAGGAAAAAAAACATTTGGTCGACCTCTAGTAGCCTACACTGCCATCATGAAGAAAATATCTGGGACATTAACTCTTGTTACATAACATAATTTAAAACAATGCAATGTTTATATTGAAAGTACAAATGTTTTAATGACGTGGGCGATTTAAAAACGATTATATAAATTAATGTCAACAATAGGCCTTTCGGTGTCCATGTTAGCAGCGCGAGCGCACGAACCACCTTCTTCACCACCTGCAGAATGCGCAAGCTCGCGCCTCTCACTGCAGCGCGAGCTTCTTCATTTGTCACGCCACCACTACAGTCAATCCCCGAGATCCAACTTTAATTTGAAACACATTTAAAGATGGAAAATTGTTTAATGTGCATCATGCACCCGGGCACACATACGCTCTCGTGACATTTGTAGAAATGCGGGGGGGCGGGGGGGGGGGGGGGGGGGGGGGGGATGACTGGGGTGCAAAATTCACATTTGGGCTCAGGCAAATGGATGCTTGCTTACCTCCAGCGTTCGGATTTCTTTTTGTGTCAAGTCGTTGGATGTGGCACATTTGGTCCTCAGACCTTCCAAACTGGAGATACTAATGTCAATCATGTTTTGCACCAGTTCGCACTGCTGCAAGGCTTTTTGCAAACTCAGATGATGCTCGTCGCTTTTGGTCATATTCTCCTCGTCCATAATTTGTGAGCAGTGGTCCTTTTCTTATGTGCTGGCTACTTTTTTTCGCTCAATCAGATCAGAAAACACTTTAGATAGTGCGTTTAATGGTGTGATCATGAAAAACTAGACTCTACGTGTAAGGCGATTCCATTGTTGATATCCTGATATCCTGACGGTGTTGTCATCAGGGTTGCACAGTTTATGTTTGATGCTCCAGCTTGACTCTACCATGATACACATACATTGAAGGAAGGAAGGAAAAAATAAAAATCAGATCCTCGCTTCGGTGGCATCAGCTAGATCCATTGCGCGCTCGTTAAATGCAAAACAAATTGAGACATCTTTGTCATTGATGATTAAGGAGAACGATTGGTGATCTTTCTTAACGATAACGTCTGATTTGACTGCATGTATTCCCCTTCTGGAGCATCATCGGCTGCATCCCGGCGCTCCCCCATCACACCGACATGTTCGCGTCAATCAAATTCACAGCAACAGCATCAGCAGCATCGCACCGCCGACACAAGCAGGGGGAGAGAGTTCTCGCGAGATAAGCATCAATGCAGTGAGCTCACTGTTTGAACTCGGAGAACCTTTTCCAATCAAACCACTGTTTTTTATATGGTCATGTTTTATAAAAGTAGTTTAACTGCCTGTCACTTGCATTGGAAATACACTTGGATAAACAAAGTACACTTGTAAGTACATTAGGGCAGTATGCCCGGACATACTGCCCTAATGCATTTTCAAGTGTACTTTACAATTGACAAGATCCACTCCAAAAAAAATATATGACAGATTCAACCTGATTACATTGGGTTACACGGCAATAAAAGTAATTTTAAGAGCCAGGAAAAAAATAGTACAGCTTCACTTTTTACAGTAGGCTATATTAAAGTTTCCTTGTTTAAAAAACCCCAGCTTTGGCCAGTGTTTTGCTGGTCTTAACTGATTTGCACTGGTCTAACAACCTGACCAAGCTAAAGACCAGACTGAGCATGCATGTCATGTGTGAAAATAGATTTTGCAAAAACATATATATGGGTTATAATGATTACGAATTGCAGTCAGAGTGTGTGTGTGTGTGTGTGTGTGTGTGTGTGTGTGTGTTCATGGTTCAGGTATAGCTATTATGGGGACAAAATGTCCCACAAAGATAGCAATATCAAAATCCTTGTCGCAACATTTGTTGGTCCTCATGTGGAAACAGCTTATAAATCATATACTAAGTGATGTTTTGTGAAAATGTAAAAATGCAGAAAGTTTTCTGTGATGGAATGTATAAAAATCATTATGTCTACATGAAAACACAACGGGTGTGTGTGTATCTTATTGTTTGTTCAGGTTGCAAAAAAACGTATGCCTTTAACTTAAATAGGCTATAGATTACTGATTATAGTATTACCTGATTTTTTTTAAATTATTGTATTACTTTTTAACCTTTAATTTTTAATTAATTTTAATTTACACTGTGTTACCATTGTATCTGACAGCAAACCAAACTTGACTTGACTCAAATGACCAGAAATTAATAAAAATCAAACCTGCAAAAGCTTTATGTACTTTATCAGTTTGTGAGAACCCTTAAATAGCATACTCACGGTAACTGCTGCAATATCGCATTAGGGAATACAATGTGTATATAAATCAATCCATCCTTTTAAACATGATGCGTTAAGAAGTGTACCATTTACATCGCAGACACAGCTAACATTAACTAATGATGACTTTGATTATCTCTTAAACTCTTATTATGAAATAACAGTAAGCCAGTTCCTCGTTAAATCCCGCCTTCATTTAAAGCGCGCTTCTGATTGGTCAACAGACTGTCGGCAAGTGACGCTCGCGGATGGAAATCTCCGTGTAGTTGGAAAAACGCGCCAAGACACATTGAAGGGGCGATTGAACAAAATACAAGAGAATGGCATCAACAAGTAAAGCACAGCAGCAGATGAGAAATTTACCATGGTAATTGCATTTGGTAGTACAAATTTCGCTCTTTTGTTATCAGCTGATAATTATCAATAAAAGGCGTTAACGTTAATGCTCTTGGAGACATCGTATAGCCGACATGTGTAGCATTGCACAGTTTTGCTTTGTTTACATATTCTGCACGTATGACCGTGATGAATTTATGAATAATAATAAACAACCACTGGCTGTAGTTAAGCTCAATAGTTGAGAATAAATCAGGTTTTTGGTATGACAGCCGAGATTATACTGATGGAGAAAAGCAATGACTACTCAAGGGAATCTGTCAATTCACTGCAAAATATGCTAAATATCTGAAATAAGTTCTTTATTAATAATATCTAACTGTAATGATAGCTATTATCATTATCTATGTTTTTTTTTTTGAAAAGGTAAGAGAATTCCATTTGGAGTTGCTGTCACTAAACATGATGAAACCAAAAAAAGTATTATTAAACAAATATAATTTTTCGATTTTCAGGGTTGAAAAGTACAGGCCACAAACATTAGATGATCTCATCTCTCACCAAGATATCCTGAGCACAAGTAAGCAGTGATATGTATGGATTATAATTTGCACTCTGCCATTATTATTATTACTATTATTAACAAATAAAGATTTTCACTGTAATACTACTTTACAATGTACTATATATTACAATTTAGATGTATCTGCGTTCAATTTCAGTTAAACTAGTACATCCAGTACATTCTTGAAAATTTTATTGAAATGTAATTGTCTTTTCCACAGTCCAGAAGTTCATCAGTGAAGACCGATTGCCTCATCTGCTCTTCTATGGACCTCCAGGAACAGGAAAGACCTCTACTATACTAGCATGTGCTAAACAGCTGTACAAAGATAAAGAGTTCAACTCCATGGTTCTGGAGGTACTGTAGATTTTTTTTTAGATTTTTTTTACAGATGTTATCCAAATGCACATGTTTGGCGAAATCTTCCCCATGACAAAAAACATATTGTCATCCATTTAATTTAGTTGAAAAAGGTCTATTGTTAGTTTTGTCTGATGTTCTATTAGTCAGACATCAATTTATGATCACAGTTTAGTATTAATTTATATTATACTATTAAAGTCCCATTCACCAAGGACGATAACTAACGATAATGACTAAGATGTAGTTGTAAAAATCGTTCTAAATATTTTTTAAAAAGAATAGCAGAGTCCACACCACAAATATAACAATAACGGCACAGAGAATCAATATTGTTGGAATCACTTTCAGAATGATTTTTTTCTAGCTGATGAACGATAAATACAATGACAGCCAATCAGAATCCATCCTGCATCTGAGCAGCATATGACAAACCTGCATAGTTTGCCATGCATAGTTTAATAGAAAGAGCTGAAGCACCGGCTAAAACATGAAAACATGAGATGCAGTGGAGTGGAAAAAGCCCACAAAGTCTCCATGCAGTGTGTAGTATAGCTGTTTGTGTATGTAAAAGTTCTGCACAGTTTTAAAGATCAAAGTGCACGATAGATAAAGTTATTGTCTCCCAAAAAAAAAGAATCAATTCTGAACTGCCGAACCGAGTCCTCAGTAAAACGCTTATCCATTAAAGATGGGATAGTACCCACTTTATTTGGACCATCTTGCTCCCCTGAGTTAGTATGAATAATTATTGATGTATATATTTTCAACTGGGTGTTTGTAATACGTAATTTTGTGTTTTATATTGTGTAAGTCTCCGGCTAACTGGCTTACACACATTATTACTGTCTGTTAATCAGCTGTGGGACACTATTACCTAAAACTGTGTCCATTACTGCAGATTGTCTATCGTTCTTACTACTTTGAGTAAAGATAAAGGATGGAGCAAGATTTGTTTTACAAACTTTAATGTTGCATCAGTCATTCACGTTAACGTATGCACTGTTATGATACAGTTAATAGTACAGTTCCCACATGTGAACTGCAATAAATTAGAAATATACACTCTGAAATTCAGTAATGGTAATGTGCGTTTAGCTTCCGTGGACCAATCACAACAGACTGGGCCATCTGACCAATCAGAGCAGAGTAGGCTCGCGGAAAGGAGAAGTTTAAAGAGACTGAATCTTCAGACGCGTCTTTTGAGAATCATTGAAAAATTTGATGATGTACAATCAGTGTTGGGCAGTAACGCGTTACTGTAACGCAGTTACTTTTGACAGTAACTCATACTGTAACGCATTACTTTTTAAATAAATTAACTCCGTTACCGTTACCATATGGTGCGTTTGTCCGTTACTTTTTTAAATTAATTAATTTTGGCTGAAGTGTAGCCTACAGCCTAACCTGTTTACAGCACCCGTCCCTTAAAATACGGAATTGTCCCGTATTAACAAGTAAAATGACGCGTCCGTATCAAATCAATAAGGGACGCGATTTGTCCCGTATTTTACATAAGGCCCACACATAGCTGGATAAAAACATAGGCTTTACTATACTAATAGCAAATAGCCTATAAATAAATCAATTTCACAATAATGTTACATTATGATTAGAATCAAATTAATTTTGTCAATTTTCTAAGCTTAGAAAATGCACATTTATACGGGCTGAATTTTATAGGCCTAAAATAAATATTGTTAAGTAATTATGTGAATTACACTGCGCAAACTACTACCCATCGAATGAAGAAGGGTTGGCTCTCAGTCTCCACAGAACAAAATATTCATTTTATTTTATTTTTAGTGTTCGCATTTATGAGGAAAAAACAAAGTTACGGACGTGACAGTTCTCCATTACGGACGCGACGCGCTCTGAAAGCGGCACTAAAAGATGCTTTAATACTTGCAGAGACATCAAACAGAAAGCACAAAACCTTTCTTTAAAGTGAATTTCGTTTTGTATTAATTGTATCTTAATTTTAATCAATGTTTCATCAACCAATTGCCTGGATTTAATAAATAAGAAGTAAATATAGCAGACGATAGATAATCACGAAATGGAGGCGCCGGCGCGTGAACTGGAGCTCGTCTCATAAATTAACCGAAACTCAGCGTATAAGGTAACCTACTTGCCTCACAGACATGTCTACTTTTAAACAGAACAATTCAAAACGAAAGAAAACAGACTACAGACTGCTCTCTGCTTATGTAATCCATTTGAAATGTGCATTTCTCTCTGGCGCGTCTACTGCGAAGATCGCGAGTCAGCCTTGTGAGTCACCTCAGAAATCTTTGTGATATATTCAGTTTGTGCTGGTCTGACTCAAATAAAATAGTGTTTAAAAATTACTTTCTGTTTAAGTCAGTTTTGTGTTTGTATAGACCATAACGCATAAAAGGGCATTAATGGGAATATTAAAGAATGTTTTTTTTTTAAAGTAACTAAAAAGTTACTTTTAACAGTAACGCATTACTTTTTGGTATAAGTAATCAACAAAGTAATTGAGTTACTTTTTGAATGAAGTAACTAGTAACTGTAACTACTTACTATTTCTTAGTAACTAGCACAACACTGTGTACAATGTATATTATGAGAAAATGAAAGTGTTTTTGACCTTTGATGCATGTAAACCTGTTGTAGGAGACCTCCAAAACAGAATTAGGAACCTTTAATATAGCATAGTATAAAGGGGCACTTTAAAAGTTGAACTTCTTTTAACTTTACATGGCTTTCTAAACATGCAGCTCTCTTGTGACAGACGCGACTGTAACGGTCAAAGATGTCCGTCTAGCACTAGTTTACATTGAACACAATGGAAAACTTGCGTTCTCACAATGGAAAAATGCGTTCTGTGTGAATGGCTTGTTTAACCAAGATCTTCTCTGCATTGAGCTTCTAAATTTCTGCAATGTTATTAAAGTTGTAAGTGTTTATAATTTAGATTTGCACTGTGGCTATCTGTATAGCACTGTATGGGCTTTTTGTCCACAAATGAGTCCAAAATTAAAGCCACCCATCTTGTGTAAAGGTTGAGGGATTCTTTGACGCACATAATCCAAGAAATGACCCCCACACCCAATATAAATGCTAAACTAAGTATTTATTTCCAAAAGAGAGCAACAAAAAAGGTTAATGTTGGTCAATCAAACAATGTGTGGTCAAAAGCTGTGTGCTCTCTCCACCTTCACACCCGATTCCAATCTCCCCACTTCCTTATACAGAGTCACCTTACAAAATAAAAGTCATCTTCTTCAGATTCATCAAAAAAACATATTAAATCGTAGTTTAAGTCAACAATTAAGTTACATTAAATACAATTCAAACTTAAATGGCTCCAACAAGCACTTGTCAGTCTTGTGGCTGTTTTTAAATGTGCTTCATAAATAAAAGAACTTATCGTTTGTTGGTGTGACACTAATATAGTTATGGTTATGTTTATAGTTATCCTTTTTGGTGTGAATGGGCCTTTAATAGAAAGTTCGAGATAGTAAAAAAGACAATGGAAGTCATAGTTACAGTCAACATTCTTCAAAATATCTTATTTTGTATTCAACAGAAGAAAGGAGGTTTGGAACAACATAAGTGATGACAAAATGTATATTTTTGGGTGAACTTTTCGTTTAAAGCTAAATATGCTTGTTACAAATCTTTTTTTTTTTTTTTTTTTTTTTTTTTTATGGGAACTATAACACATTTGACTTCATCAGCTCAATGCATCAGATGACCGTGGCATAGACGTGGTGAGGGGGCCGATCCTCAGCTTTGCCAGCACGCGAACCATCTTCAAGTAAGAACTGTACCGACCCTTACAGCTCATATATGAACAACTTGTATAATATGATAATGTCATCTCACACAACAATATCATAATTACATTTTCATGTTGCAAGTTTTCTATTTGTTTCCATATTGCATGACATCTGGTCTTCTGGCTTTTATTGCATTAAAATATTTACTGTTGTAAAAGAACTGATCATTCTTTGTGTTTGCTCCTTGCAGGAAAGGCTGCAAGTTGGTGATCCTGGACGAGGCGGATGCTATGACCCAGGACGCACAGAATGCTTTGAGGAGAGGTAGCGTACCATCTGCCCCTCCATCAGCTCACCTGCTGAGCCCCCAAATGGCCCGATGGCAGAAGAATAGGGATCTGCCGTTTCACTGTCCACAGTGGGATTATGATTGGAAAAAATATTTAGAGAGTTTAAGGTTCATTTGGACAAAGCATTTGGATGTGTCTAATGCTTTAGATCCTATAAAAAATTATGTTGTGGATATCTAAGTGGATGAAGTTTTATATATATATATAAATAATTAATTTCAAATATTTTTATTATTAAAACATATATTTTATTTTATTTTGAGACCTGAATGAGAAGTCTGGTTGGAAAAAAACTATTTTGAGAGTTTAAGATACATTTTTATAATGCATCTGATTTTATTAAATAATTGCATGCTTTATATACAGGTTTTAAATGTATGAATGTCTGTTGTGAATATCTTTGTAGAAAAAGATCTATTTTAATTTAATGCTGTTCATTTTAAATATTATTAATTTAATTATTTTTTTTATATTATTCTTCATTTCAGATATTTTTCATTATTTAAAAAACGCCTACTAATTTGTATTTTATTTTGAGACATGAATGAGAGCAGTGTGATTCGATTTTTATTTTTATTTGTTTATATAACTTTTTTTTATAGGTTTTAAAATGCAAGAACGACCAGACTGGCTTAATCTAAGCCCTGTCTGTGAAACCAGGCCATCAATTTTTGTTTTATCATTTTATTTTATTGTTGCAGTCCCTTTGGAGATTTATTTGTGCAGACTTCATTGAGCCACACCTGATTCTCTCTCTCTCTCTCTCTCTCTCTCTCTCTCTCTCTCTCTCTCTCTCTCTCTCTCTCTCTCTCTCTCTCTCTCTCTCTCTCTCTCTCAGTCATTGAGAAGTTCACAGAGAACACACGTTTCTGTCTGATCTGTAACTACCTTTCAAAGATCATACCTGCGCTACAGTCTCGATGCACGCGCTTTCGTTTCGGCCCCCTGTCCCAGAGCCAGATGATCCCCAGACTAGAACATGTGATACAGCAGGAGAGGTGAGATGCTCATCACATCAAATCCAGGTCAAGTGGATGTTATTTATGAAATCTTCACTCACATTTTCTTCAGAAAATGCAAACATCTAGTTGTTTATATTTGTATGTAATTAGAAGAAAGACATCTGTAGATCGAGTAACATTGAAATGACAATATTAAGACCTTCTAGTGTTTTTATCAGAATTGCATCATCAGATGGATCCACTCAAAACACCCTGAACACAAAAGATCCTGGCTGAAGTGACCCAGCCCCATGGCCCATTTCATTAAAAAACTCTTCACACACAAACACACGTTTTATATCGGCTCTGACCTCCGGCGCAGTACAGCACCGACATCGGCTAATAAAACCAAACATTGTGCTTCCCTAGCATAGATTCATAGATATTTCAAAATCTGTTTTGTTCATGGTTTTCCACTGATAGCATTGACATCACTCCAGATGGCATGAAGGCCATTGTGACGCTCTCAACAGGAGACATGAGACGATCACTAAACATTTTACAGGTGTGTATCGTGTGAAAAAGTGGTGATTTGATGGTTTTCATATCATTTGGATTGCTGCTGGCATGAAGGATTTTCTTGAGAAAAATGTGTTCTTTATGTTTTGATGTGTAGAGTACCCATATGGCCTATGGGAAGGTGACGGAGGAGACGGTGTACACATGCACTGGACATCCTCTTAGATCAGACATCGCCAACATACTGGACTGGGCCCTCAATAAAGACTTCACCACTGCGTACAACCGTATCCTTTTTACTACAGTGGTTGCTTAAATAGTTCTTCAAGCTTTTCTGTAGCATATTACTTATCTTTTTTAAAACATGAATAAAAAAGTGTGGTCTTTTTGGCACTTTTTTTTATTGCTGATCTAAAGCGAGTGGTGACTTTATTTTACCCAATAACATTTCTTACCTCTCTACTAGAATAAGATGTATTTATTATTATTTTTATTTTAGTTTCTTGTTGTTTATTTTATTATTATTAATTTCCTTTTTTTTTTTTTTTTTTTTTTTTTTTTAGATTATTTAGAAAGTTTAATCTCAGTTTTGACTGCATCTGCTTTTATTAAATAACTGGATGTTTTATTCTAGGTTTTAAAATGCAAGAACATCTGTTCTTGATAAAAATCTATTTTTATTTTATTATATAAAGATATATATATATATATATACACACAAATTTTTTATTATAAAAATAGTATTTTATATTATTATTAATTTCAAAATTTTATTATTTTAAATTAGTTTTATTTTATTATTTTTAAAAATTATTATTTTTTAAAATATTTTTTAAAATATTTTTTTTATTTAAAATTATTATTTTTTTAAATTTTAAACAGTCCCGTTGGAGATTTATTTATGCAGACTTCATTAAGCCATTAAGATTTATTAAGATTCTCTTTCTCTCTCCTTTTCGGACTTTTTATTGATAAGAAGAAATGTGATCGGGTAAAAAAAGTCACCAGTTTGCTTTAGATAAAAGCACCTGCTTTAAATAAAAAGCAAATAAAATAAAAATGAATTACATTTTCTAAATTATCACAAAAAAAATAATATTATAATTATTAATGATAATAATTTAGATTGTTTATTAATCTTAATATAGATTCAAAATTCATTTATTTTTTCATCTTCTTCAAAGCATTAACAAAGAGCTTAAATAATAATTTTGTAATTGTATTTTCCACACATTAACCCTTTCCACCAAAGTAACTAAAATATACATAAAATAATCATTATAAATTAATAAGTAAAATTTACATTAAAATATGCACATTTAGAAATAAACATAAAATCCATATTAGGAAAATGACCACAAACATAGTTTATGCTCCATATATCCTAATATAATCTCTGTTACGTTTGTGGTCTGTACATGTAACATCTCTGATCAAACATCAAATTTTTATAAATATTACTATAGAAGCAAATGTTTTTATATATTGACATTTATAATAAAACCATTATTTTATTAAGGATATTTAACGGTTTGTGAGAATACCATTGTGATGAGAACTTGCTTATATACAGTGCTTGGCATAAGTGGACACACCCATGCTAAAGTTGACTAAAAAGAGGAATAAAACATCATCTTTTGGAAATTGATCTTAATGCCTTAATTAAAAAAATGTGGAAAACTCCAACCTTCAAGGACACCAATTTTCTTTGTGAATGAATAATGTATCATAAATAAATAAATGTTCATCTGTGCATTTGTCTTTTAAGGAAGTCCTCTTTTTAGTCAACTTTAGCATGGGTGTGTTCACTTATGCTAAGCACTGTAGTTTATGACGTTTCAAAAGTCCTTAACCAGGTTCAACAGAAATTATGCAGCTCAAAACTCTGAAAGGTCTGGCACTTAATGACATTCTAACCGAAGTTCATCTTCTCATTCACCGCGGTAAGACCACACTGTGAACAGAGTTTGAAGAAATCAGTTCGTGTTGAAAAGAAATAAAGAGTCTAGTAGTGAACTCTGCTGTAGTGATGAGCTAGATGTTTCCCTGCCCTCGCTGCCATGGAGATCCTTCTGTGGTTGTCATGGAAACCGGTTGTTCTTGTTTTTAAAGGACGCCTGTTATAAGTAGCAGAGTGTAGCATGCTTCACACACACAGAAGACACTACATATTAAGCTATATTCAGAATCAAGATTAGTATATCATAACTGTATATCAATATATTTATCGAGAGTTTCTGTAGGTTGATTTGTTTTGGAACTATAGAAAAGAGATGTTTAGATTTCGATTTTTTTACTGATCGGACATTTAGGTGGGTTATTTTGCTCTAATGTTTTTGTGTCTCTATTTCAGTGGACTTCCCTCCCTCTATCCGCATGGGTTTGCTTATTAAACTTGCAGATATTGAGTGAGTACATTCATTTTGTTTTAAGTTATTATTAAACATAGAATTTTTTTTTAACAATATAAATCTTTACTATCACTTTTTTATCAATTTAACACATCCTTGCTGAATTTAAAGTATTAATTTCTTTTGAAAAAAGAAAGAATAAAAAGGACTGACTCCAAACGTTTGAACGGTAGTGTATATTGTTACAAAATACTTCTATTCCTAATAAATACTGTTCTTTTTTAACTTTTTATTCATCAGAGAATCCTGAAAAAAGTATCATAGGTTATAAAAAATATTAAGCAGCACAACTGTTTTCAACATTGATAATAAATCCGTATATTAGAATGATTTCTGAAGGATCATGTGACACTGAAGACTGGAGTAATGATGCTGAAAATTCAGCTTCAGCTTTGATCAGAATTAAAATGAAAACAGATATTTTAAATTCCAATGTTTCATATTATTACTGTTTTTACTGTATTTTTGTACATTATGTACTTGAGCTTAATTTCTGTTCTTTCCTTTTAAACCATAAGGTATCGTCTGTCCTCGGGAACCAATGAGAAGATCCAGCTGAGCTCAATGGTTGCTGCTTTCCAGGCTGTTAGAGACATAGTAGTCAGCGACGGATAGACTATTGGTTCACACTTGACACATGAAAGGGTTTTGATGTCATGAGAGGAAGTTTTTACTACTTCTTCTTTTTACTTTGTTGTTTTGACCCAAAAAAACTGCTCAGAACCCTGTAGTATTTTTTTTAATGTTTATTTTCAGTTCTTTGTAAAACAAATTTTCACAGTAGGTATGTAAAATATAAAAGTCTTTAAATAAATATTTCAAGTATAGCATCATAATTTTATGTCTCTTTGTTTTGAGTCTGGGGAAATTATGCGTCTTAGAAAGTTATGCAACTTCTAAACCAAAGTTTTACCCACAAACCTTCCTTGTTTTCAGTCAACTGCAGTGTTCTTTACAATATATGATCTTTTGCTTTGGAATGTCCCTATATGTAAGGTATTCCAGGATTTTTTTGGGCAAAGGAAGAGCCTCCACCTGATAGGTTGAAACAGAGAATCTCAGGGCAACCCGGCACAGATGCCTAAGGCTTGGAACAAGCTGAGGAACTCTCCAGAATTTGACTTGTCCATCTCTGCACCTACAAACACATAGGGCATATGTTAAGTTCCTAATATTTATTCCAGTATACAAGCCCTATTATTTCAACCCCAAATGTTTCAAGAGTAAACATCATAAGCCATAACTAAATATAAATGACGTTCCAATACATTTTTGTGAACTGCATTACCCTGTAGCAATGACGCCCCCGTGTGGATGGAAAGCGGAGCACACGCCACCAGCGCGACTGTGATCGGTGTTGGTGACCAGTTTATCTCGTTCCACGTCCCAGATCTGTAACGCCCTGCAGGACAATACAGTGTCACCAGTAACAATGCTGAAAGTGGACGACCGGGTGTGAGGTCGCAAGAATGTCGTCTGAAAGTCTCGGGTCTTAAATGGATGGCTCTCTGCTCACCTGTAGTCTTTGAAAGCCAACTGCAGGCTAACCGGAGAGAAACTCAGAGATGTCAGTAAATTGTCACTTCTGTAAGCACACACCTCACAGTCTCTGGAAAGAGAACAAAGTATTTTTACATCATTATGAGAAACAATACTGTCTTTGTCTACATGTTCAAAAACATCAGATCATTCAGCTTTTAATGTAACAGTAGCCTATGGAATGGAAGCTTGTTTCCAGCACATAATAAAGGTTAAAAAAAAATTAATTCGCAATCGCAAACTTGTATCTCACAATTATGACTTTTTTTCCGCAATTCCGAGTTAATATCTCGCAATTTGGAAAATAAAGTCAGAATTTCACAATTGTGAGTTTTTATTTTTTATATTGCCACCACTAACCTACGACCAGATATTGTTTTGTGGTCTGGATCAGCACGCATTGTTCAACTGATAGAGTTAACAGTGCCATGGGAGGATGCGGTAGATGAGGCATATGAGAGGAAGAAACTGCGGTATGCTCATCTGGCCACTGAAGCAGAACAGCGAGGATGGAGAGTCCAGGTTTATCCAGTGGAAGTGGGTTGTCGAGGTTTTGTGGCACACTCTACAACCCGGTTCCTCAGAGACGTCGGATTCAGTGGCCAAGAGTTGCGTCGCACAGTAAAGAACTTATCTGAAGCAGCAGAAAGGAGCAGCAACTGGCTGTGGTTGAGACGGAAAGATTCTAGCTGGCTGTGTACAGGCCGCCACGCTACGGTTTCGTAGAGTTCTTGAAAACTTGAAGAGTCTGTTGGTTTGTTTGTATACGTTCCTGTGGATATTGCGTGAATGACGGGTGGTTGGGTAGATATTGTGTTTTGCGGTAGGTGGTATGCCATACGGAACCGTTGTCCACTGAAACTGCATATTAACGCACCAGTGGGGCTCGACAGCCTTAGTCAACGGGTTGGCGCGTATGGTTGGGTCGCGGAGAGATTGTGATATTGTGGTTAGGTCTCAGCAGCAGGAGGGATGTAGAGGTCAGCAAGCAGGGCTGAGTTGAGTGGGGGACGGAGGGGGGTGACTCTGGGACGCCAGAGTCACTGTCGAGCCCTCTTGAGGTGTCGTGGGCTAGTCGACGAAACACTGAGGACGGAAGGTGCCCACTTGAAGACCCTAGAGATGTCCCCTACTCGGTTCAATCCAGACGGTTGTCGTGCTGGTCCTGTAGTTGCAGCCGTCGCGTGTGCTAACGCGCCAAGTACACTGCTGCCGTTAACGCCGGACAGAAGGGGAGTCACACTACCTTATGGAAAGAAGCGTAAATGGATGGAGAAGCATAGTTTACTGTAAAGCTACGTCTTAGTTTTGCTTATCTTGGCGAAAGCCGAGTACAAATCAGCATGAAGTTTTAACATCTACTCTCGTGTAATGGAAATCATGAAGATCTGGATACATCCAGTGACTGCGGTGAATAGTGCTGCTGGCAACCAGGGAAAGACCTTGTGACAGCCTGGAGAGACAGCTGACAGGAGGAAAGAGACCCCAATGGGGCTGGTAAGGGTTAGCTACCCTTGTCGGCAGTATCCAGCTCCGTGTTTACAGGATGCTGGAGACACCCGCCCAAGGCTTCTGAGAAATCAAAGAGAAAAATACCCCTAGAGTCTGCGAGAGCGGGGGCGGAAGATGACTCAATGTTGGACAACATGGTTAACGACTTAGGAATGGAAACGGATATGAGTATGGAGAGTAAGACTAGTTCAAGATCTGCAGTAAGTAAAGTCATTGAACTCCAAGTTTGTGTCTGTGGCTGGAGCAAGGTGACAACGGTCAGGGGTTTGAAGGTTCATCAAGGGAAAATTAAATGCTTGAGGGAGAAGGGACAAGGGCCTCGCATTGATCAGTACTTCTTACGAAGTCAGTCAAGTCAGTCGAATGAAATCCAGCGACAGGAAGCAAACCACAGCTCGCAGGATATCAGCACCCCTGTCATTGACGAAAGGAGGGCTTTCACAGTTAGTGATGAACATATTCATACTTGTGAACCCGGTCAGGCTAACCAGCATAAGAGAGAAAAAAACCTCAACGGGCATAGGCCTGGAGTTAGATGGCCAAGAGCTTGTGAGAAAACTGCATGGGACACGGTAAACACAGATCTATGCTTTGCATTGGAAAGATTAACTGGTACAGTTGAAAAGAAGCTGGATAAATTTGGGGACATCATTTACGCATATGGAAGTGAGAGGTTTGGTGTGCAAAAAAGGAAGGAAAAAGTACAAACTACTCCTGGAATGTCTAGACGGCAGCAGAAAATTCAAGGGTTAGTTAGAGAAAGGAGACAGCTGAGGAAGCAATGGAAAAGAGCAGAACAAAGTCAGAAGGAGGGACTCAATCTCTTACAAAGGGCCATAAAAGATAAGCTGGCAACATTACGCAGAGCTGAGCGCCTACGGAAATGCTACAAAAAGAAGGAACGTGCGAGGGCTAATTTCTATAAAGACCCATTCAAATTCGTAAAGAAGTTATTCACCAGTGAGAAGAATGGCACTTTAAAAACATCTAGGATTGAGCTAGAGAGATATTTGGAGGACACGCATACAGATGCAAAAAGGCATGAGCCTATGTCAATTCCATCAGACATACCACCTATCAACCCACCAGAATACCAAATGGAGGTCTGTGCACCTAAGTGGAAAGAGGTAGAGCAGGCTGTGAGAAAGGCAAGGGCTTCATCATCTCCAGGGCCTAATGGAGTTCCGTACAGAGTGTACAAGAGTGCTTCAGGAGTTCTGCGAATTCTGTGGAAATTGATAAAAGTGGCATGGGAAAAACAGGTTGTACCTAGAGCATGGCGCAGAGCAGGTGGAGTCTTTATACCTAAAGAAAAAGATGCTACAAGCATCAGTCAGTTTCGTCCTATTTCACTATTAAACGTTGAGGGTAAGATTTTCTTTAGCATTATTGCCCAGAGATTGTCCACCTACCTGTTAAAGAATGGCTTCATTGACACCTCAGTTCAAAAAGCGGGTATTCCAGGGTTCTCAGGATGCTTAGAACACATCAATGTTATCTGGCAACGAATTAAGTCAGCTAAAAAGGAGAGGAAGGAGCTCCATGTGACATTCCTGGATTTGGCTAATGCATATGGTTCAGTGCCACATGAGCTTCTTTGGGCAGCATTTGATTTTTTCAGAGTACCAATGTCAATAACAAATTTAGTGAAAGCCTATTTTGGAGATTTGCAATTCAGTTTCTCAACTCCAAAATTCAGCACTGCATGGCAATGCCTAGAGGTTGGAATAATGGCAGGATGCACCATTTCTCCACTGGCTTTTACCATGGCGATGGAAGTAATCATGAGGGCATCAAGATGGGTAGTAGGAGGAGAGCGCTTGGCTTCTGGGATGCGACTACCACCAATCAGAGCATACATGGATGACATGACAACCATGACTACAACAGTAGCCTGCACTAATCGGTTATTGGGGAAGTTAACAGATAATATTGAATGGGCACGAATGAAATTTAAGCCCTCTAAATCAAGGAGCATCTCGATAGTTAAAGGAAAGGTAGTAGATAAAACATTCTTCATTAATGGTGAGGCAATACCAACAGTTTCTGAGAAGCCAGTGAAGAGTCTTGGGAGATGGTACGATGGGGATCTAAAGGACACAGTTCGGGTGGGAGAAGTTAGACGACAAGCAGTGGAAGGGTTGAAGAGCATAAACAGCTGTGCTCTACCTGGTAAACTAAAACTCTGGTGCTTTCAGTTTGGTCTACTGCCGAGGTTGCTGTGGCCACTGACCGTGTACGAGGTTTCTTTGACAACGGTGGATAAGCTGGAAGCGTTGGTAAGTTCATACATCAGGAAATGGTTGGGAGTTCCACGCTGCCTCAGCAGAGTAGGACTTTATAGTAAAGGAATATTGCAGCTGCCCGTCTCTGCTCTAACCGAGGAGTTCAAGTGTGCCAAGGTCAGACTGGAAATGACCTTAGTAGAGTCACGCGACAAATGTGTAAGGGAGGCAGCCCCTGTGTAAAAACTGGTAGAAAGTGGTCAGCAAAGAAATCTGTAGTAGAGGCAAAGGCTGCCCTTCAAATTAGGGATATCGTGGGACAGGTACAGCATGGAAGAGGGGGTTTTGGGCTCAGTTTAACTGGCTTTAGCATTAGAAGGCAACCGTAACATGACCAATAAGTTGCCACCT